CCTTCGGAGACAGCGGTGATCGAACACAGAGAGTCGTCTAACGTCCTCAACTCGGAGAGGCCAGGTTTCACAAGCATAGAGCAAAACTGCTCTCACCGGCGCGTTGTCTATCCAACCTTTTACAGCCAGACTAACATCACGAAGGCGCCAAAGATGGCCCAGATTGGCATAAGCCACTCTGGCTTTCACTATACGTGCATTGATCTCATCACTCACACCCCCACCAGCACTTATGCAGCTACCCAGATACACGAACTTCTTGACTACTTCTATCTGCTCACCATCCAGGGTGAGTACAGGATTGGAATCCTGCCAGTCTTGTAGAAGTACTTTGCACTTCGAAGGTGCAAAGCACATACCATACCTACGGACACTGATTGCCAACTGATTAAGTGCGGATTGCATGCCTTGGGCATTATCGCACAGTAAGACAATATCGTCCGCATACTCAAGGTCGAGAAGTCTTTCTCCAGGCAACAGATCCACACCACCATTACTTACATTCATCAGAGCTGTTTCCAGAATGTCATCGATGGTAAAGTTGAAGAGGAATGGTGAGATTGGGCAACCCTGCCTAACCCCACTACTCGAATGGAACAATGGAGAGAGGTGGTTGTATGCCCTCACTCTGCCTGAGGTGTTTTTATATAGGGCTTTTAGGATGTTAATAAACTTCTCAGGCACACCCTTCTTCAATAGACAATTCCAGAGAACAGTCCTGTTCAACGAATCGAAGGCAGCCCTGATGTCAAGAAACACTACGATTGTTGGCTTTTGATAACTATGGCGATGTTCTAACATTTGGCGGAGGGTGAACATATGATCAATACATCCTCGACCAGAACGAAACCCAGCCTGCTCCTCGCGAGTCAATCTTTCTCGGGTTTTGAACAACCTACGAAGTATGACGGAAGCCAATAGCTTGGACGCAATCGGAAGTAGACTTATCCCCCGATAGTTGTTGCAGGAACGACGTGAACCCTTTTTAAAGATAGGGACAACTATCGACTAATTACATGACGTGACAACCATAGAGGGATTAGTTTAACTAACATAGTATCTATAATACTAGCCTCGATAATTATCAGACGCCTAACTAAGACTCGTGAACTGCAAACACGAGAGAATCAAGCTGGCTTCAGACCTGGTCGTGGCTGCATAGACCACATATTCACCATTCGTCAGGTTCTAGAACACAGGCATAATTATTGGCGTCCGACAATGGTGATCTTTCTTGACTTAAAAACAGCATTTGACTCAGTAGACCGCGAGATTCTGTGGCAGTGTCTGTCATTGAAAGGCGTACCTCAGGAGTACATAAACCTTGTGAAGGCTCTTTACTCGAACACTACTAGTCGAGTCAGAGCTTGTGGCGAACTGTCATCTGCTTTTGCAACCTCAAGTGGTGTCCGTCAAGGCTGTCCACTTTCTCCATTTTTGTTTAACTTCATCATAGACCTACTGATGGGTATAACATTCTCGTCGACTGAAGTTTCGGGTATTGACCTTCTACCAGGAGGTCCACTTATCGGTTTAGAATACGCAGATGACATAGTCCTGTTTGGTGAAGACGCTGATAAAATGCAGAGTCTTCTGATAGCACTAAGCAACAATGCCAGAATGTTTGGAATGCGCTTCTCTCCCTCTAAATGCAAGCTGTTGCTTCAGGACTGGTCTGCGTCAACACCTGAACTAAGGATAGGGAGCGAAGTAGTCGAACGCGTTGACAACTTCACTTATATTGGAAGTCTGATCAGCCCTAATGGGTTGGTGTCTGACGAAATTTCAGCACGGATTCGAAAAGCTCGCTTGGCTTTTGCCAACTTACGTCACCTATGGCGAAGGCGAGATATCCATCTATCAATAAAAGGACGAGTATAATGTGCGGCACTCCGTTCTGCCTTAGTTTACGGCAGCGAAACATGGCCATTAAGAGTAGAAGGTACTCGCAAGCTGCTAGTGTTTGACCACAAACGCCTCATAAATGCTGCTCGCAACTACTGGGATCACCGGGTAAGTTATAGTGAGGTTAGACGCAGAGTATTGGGTAATGATGGTTAATCAGTTGATGAGGTTGTACAACTTCATCGAATGAGATGGTTGAGCCACGTGTTACGTATGTCTGAACACCGACTACCACGACGTGCAATGCTAACTGGTGTTGGAGATGGTTAGAGGCGGCCAAACCAAAACGTGGCATCAGTGCTTATAGTCACTAACTTTTAGTCTGAGCCATGTTGGGAGATGCAGACTACTTGGTTGGAGTCCGCGTGACTATCGTAACCAATGGTTGGAGACTCTTGGTGACATGTCTCAGAATCGATCACAATAGCGTCGGTGTATACACTCTGTCTTTCCTTAAACTAAGAGATTAAAATCGCTTCATATCTTTCTTTCTGTATTATATCCTTATATGCAATCGTTCTTTTATATATTACCACCTCTGAATTAACTACTTTTATCAATCCGGTGTTCATCTTGTTGTGTTAATGAGGTATGACAACCTGGACCGATGCATATGTGTTTGGTGCTACTTAGTAGCTGACTGACTGACTGAAATTAATGCTGGGACCAGGTTCAGTAAGTGTTGCATACATTAGTCATCCCCGTGAATCAGTTGGATATTTACTATTACTGTTTAAGGTTATATTCAGTCAGTCGTAAATACAATAACAATTGAAGCTGCCACATTTTACAGATGTGACGGAAGCACATTGAATAAGTCTATTAACCGAAGAATTACTTTTTGATAATGAGTAGGCAGATGATATTTTAATACTATACGATGACGGACCCACTATCCAAATTGCATCTAGTCATTTTGCAGTGCATCCAGAATTACATAATACGTTTATCACTTCAGAAAAGCAAAGTATTTCGGCAAGTCAGGGAGAAGCCGGTTTTCATACTAACGTTTTATGGTAAACAATTTGAAATAATAGAAAAATTTGCGTATCTTCTGGGTAGGTTTGAGAGTTAGGGTAGTAAATGCTATCAACCTATGCATAGTGAAATTCAGAGCAGTCTATACCAATTTAGGCCACCTCTGAGGCTGTTTTGGTGCTAGTTTGATTGTAAAAGATCTAAGTTGCCAAAGAGAGTTCCTTTCTACGCTAGTGAAACATGACCCTTCTGACCTCAGGATGTTAGGCAACTATACCCGATGTCTATCGCCTTCAAAAGCCCCTGCTCTTGTCAGTGTTTTCCACGGGTTCTGAACAATGCGCGAAGCATGACGGACAGATCTTGAGAACTGTTGTACAGATTACGTTGACTCTTTTGGAGATAGGGACGACGACCGTTACACCCCAAAGTGATACGACACTTCCCATCCCTTAAAATTTTTCCGAATAACCCAGTTTCCAGACCAGAATTTGCCACCATCTTTAAGCGTAGCCGAGGGTAGGCAATCTGGGCTTAGTTGTAAGATTTTAGAGATTGGAGTTACTTAAGATCCTCCGTCTTGTTAAGCTTGTCGGTAGCTACCGACCATCTCGAACGAACCAGGCTAATTTTAGACGTGGAAATCGAAGTGCAGACTAAACATTCACTTTTACTCAAGTCCCAGAACACAGGAATACTGATCAACGCCCACCTATAGTTATATTTATTGGGCGTAGGGCAGCATTTGACTCTGTTGCTCGACAGATTTAATGGCAGCCTATCATTGAAAGCGTACCAAAAAAGTATACCAACCGTGTACTGGATCTGAACTCGAACACTAATGGTCGATTTAAAACTTATAACAAACTATCAGACTTATCAACCTCAAGTGGTGTCCAATTGAGTTGTTTACTTTCCCTATTTTTTTTACTTCAACAAACATATTTGACCAGAGATAAAGCTCTAGTCGTCCGAATTTCCTTTTAGCAGACTGACTTGTCGAGTTAAATATACAAATGACACAGTTCTACTTGGTGAGGTACAAAGAGGCATCAAATACATACCTACTTGGTGAGGATGCTGGAAATATACAGTTTTCAGGACACCATGGGCAACAATACAAGTGTGACTGGGATGTAATTCTCTCCTCCCAAATGCAAAACGTTGCTTTAGGTCTGGGTCAATGCCTGGACTAATGGTAGGTAGTGGGGCAGCTAAATGCGTCAGCACTTCGCTTGTCGTGGAATTTTCGTCAAATCTGGTGGACTGATGCATGTCGAAATTTCGGCGATTCAAAACGCTCAACCGGCTTCTGACAGTTTGTATCACTTATGGCGTAGACGGGATGTTCAACTACTAACAAATGGATGAATATACTAATTAGCAGCTCGACTTTTTTTACTGTATACTTTTGAAATGTGACCTTTAGAAGCAGAGACAATTTATACATTACTAGAATTTGATCAGAAGTGTCTGTGTATGTTGAAATGATTAAGCAAAAAAGGAGGTGAAGACTTATCGGTTAGAGGTAGTGACCCTTTGTAGATTGCGGCGGTTGGGATAGATATTACGTATGGCAAGCCACTACCAATTTTAAAATTCTTTGTTCTGGGAATCCATGCTTTTTTCTCGAATTACATAGTCCATATCTAGTTTGTCTTACTGCTTTTATAAATCTCGTATTTGTATGAAAAATTTCATATGATTATGATATTGTAGTGGCGCAACCTAAACTGACACATATTTAAGCCAAGTCCTACGTTGTGTGACTAACTGACTGGCCAAGAAGTACATGGGAATCTGATAGATGACAGTGGAGCAACATGTCGGCTAAACTGTCACTCAAAGTCCTGATTTTAACGTTTAAGACACTTTATTTTATTATCGAATGGTCACATTTCAAATAAAGACTGAATATAGTTCATACAGAAGCAAGTAGACTAAACTTTTGTCAAATATAACGTTACGGAGCACTGTGGAGTTGGAAGCATTTAACGTCTTTGAGTGTCTACTGAGCAACGCAAAAACAATATTATTTCAAACACATTGCAAACATGAAAAACTCAAAAGCGAAAATACGTTAGCAACAGCACTGTAAGGAATAAATAGCTACATACCCTGTACCAAGTTCGCTCTCGATAGAATACACATCACGAGGGTTTCCAGGAGTTATTACGGAATCTAGAATAAAGTTTCGAAATATATAAATCTGATAATTTTGAGTCAAATAATTGGAAAAACAAACCGAATGGAAATTAATTGACAGTTAAAAAGATTTTGAGGTGGTACTGACCTAATTCTGAATAAAACTCCTCATCTGTGAGTTTCCTGCGAACACGTTTGCGGAGCAAAGGAGCCGCTTGCTACAAAATGATAAGCATTGAAATTTAAAGCTACAAACCTTATTTGAATCACTGGCAGATGGCTTTGGTGGAGGTACAGGAGGAATGAGAGCACCATTTTTCCTTTCGTTTATATGTACGACAGGCTTGGCTTTTGGATGAGATGATGCGGCATTCGTACTGTTCTTTTCTTCTTTTGGATTCAAAATAAACAATCGCATTTTCCTTTCCAACTCATCATCTACGAAAACTAGTATGATGAAAACAATCAAACCTTCATCAACACTTTCCAAGCCCTCAAAACCCAAGTACTTGGTTTTTTGCGACTCTTTGAAAGCGGTCACAGCGTTAAGAATTTTGTCCGCATTATTTTTTCGGTCTTCGACTGAGAAATTCGAATTGTCTATCATTTCTTTCCAGTAATCAGGTATCCCATGGAACTGCCCTGTCTCTTGGTCGTAAGTAACATGCACATGTTTAACAACATTAGTGGGACTTGAAATCTCACTAATGATGTCACTACGTTTTGGTTTGAAGAACCTTGCTTTCGGCATCTTAAAGAGTTGAAACTGTACATCGACCTTGTAGGTCAATGGATTGATAAACCATAACAAATCGAGTAAGTATTGACTGGAAAGCGACCTATTATATATCCAATATCCTTCTGAAGAGCTCACACGAACTGATTGATTTCCTTGTCCTTGCTGCTTTTTGTCTCTGTAAGGTTCCAGGTGTATGTTAATATACAAATGGTGATACTCTAGAATATCAACTGCAATAACTCTAGTTATTTTGGTAAATATTTATAGATTTGTATACATTGTAGTCTGTGTGATTGCACTGGTTTTATGGCAGTCGGATTTCTTGATATCAGCAGTCATTACATTACCAGGCAGAAGGTTGGTTGGATGCGATGTGACGAATGATAAAGAAATCAGAATGCTAAGAAAAATGAGTCTTAAGAAGTAAATAAATAAGTTAGTTAACTGGTAACGCAGACAGTGTGGGACTTAGTATGAGAAGAAAAGGGGAAACAGAGATGAAAATAAGCGAGGTAGGGTGTAGTTACTGATATTCGTTGAAAATAACCGTGGTAAATTATGGAGCATGCATCAGATACAGGTGGTCCGAGAGGGAGACGGTAGTTCATGAGTGCGTAGCAGTTAATAATCCTTAAAACAAATAGTTCAGTAAGTCTTCGGCAGTGATACTGACCTCATCAGTTTTACTGGGCACATCTTAGTGGGGGGGGGCTCGGTCATGTATTCGCACCAGATCATGGTTGGGTGCCTTTTGCTGCTGATCCCTCTCAACAATTTGCCAGCTTAGGCCAAACACTTTTCGACAGATCTCAAACTCCTTCATCCCTGACTTCTAGTTTGACTGGGTTGGAATCTTTCTATTACAAAGACGTTACAAACAGAAGCGTTGTTCAACCCAGAATGCTTGTGGCATATTTAGGTATGTATGGCTTTGTTAAGTCTCGTCTTAAAGCTATCCACTGGGAGAGCATTCCAAGTTCAGGCAACTCCTGTTGAGAAAAAGTTGGGAGAAGCCTGGGATTTTACTCTTTGATGTGAAGTTTTTTGGTTGCCTCAAGGAACTTGATGGTTATGTTTGGGTAGATTTTTCATGTTAAGGTGACTTGCAGTACTCAGTATTTTGTGTGCCATTATCTGATCATTGTTTATTCGCAATAAGGATAATCTGAGGTATCGAGGCCCATATTTGTGAGATATTCCCCTTAGTTATCTTCTACTAAAGTGAAGAGTTACGTTTACGTGGTCAGGATTCACGACGTATTTTTAGCCGATGTTCAAGCCCTGTATGATTACCAGTACTAGACTGCACTCTGAGGAGACACCTGTGAGCGAATTTCCATAGATGACACAATCTATTTATTAAGTCTGGATGTTCATGGCGTCACATTTTAAAAGAATGATTTTAAACGGTTGTTCAATGATTATTCCTCTACTGTTGTGTCGTCCTTTCGAAGTTTGAGTGAAAATTTTCTCTTTTTATGAACCTCCATATCTTCACAACATCCAGACAGACCAGTACCACTGAGTTTATTTTATCTAGAAGGTCAATAGTAAGGATCAGGAGTGAACCTGAAGTTTTGTAGAATTACGGTCTTGTTCGATACTACCAAATATGTCTTTGCTAGTATAATAGTAGACCTTACGCCGAAATTGTAGATTTGTCATGTGACTACCTAATCTAAAAGGTCTTACACAGAAGGAATATCATTGTCTTTACAGAATTCCTGTCACGATAATCAGTGATATGATATTTAGCACTTCTGATGAACACATTTGAACTGGGGATAGAATAATATATTTGAAGTGGAGAGTAATAAGCTACGCAGAATGACCACACATGCAAGGCCAACCCATGCCACGCAGATCAGTTGTTCCTGCGTTCCCCGTCTTTTATGTTCTCTAACCCTTTAAAGTGTTGAATGTAAATGTTCTCAGTAATCATACGCTCCGCTTCAAAGATCATGTAGTTGGGAACAAACACCACTACATTCCTACCCCATTAGAATCAACGCGACGTTGATTTGATAAGGAATCGAGCGAAATTGTCGTGTGCTGGAGATCACCGAAAGAGTCAGTTGATACCTCCAAGTGTTGATAGACTGAAAAATAAATGAAACAGAACGCGGCAGCGACTGTTAAGAAAATGCATGTAGTAGTTTCAAAAATGTTTCGTTTAATTCTTAACACGCCCAAAGTGAAATCCACGTAAAGATTATTTAACAGTTAAACAAGGTGAGATTATCATAATGAAGAATGATTTAGTATAGACATAATTTAACATGTCAAATTAAGATTCATAAGGGTAACCGTTGGTCAATAGCTTAACTTATGGCCAGTAAAAATATTTTGTGCGCACGAATATTAAAACAGTCAAAATTATAGCGATGTAGTTAATGGTATTATCTTTGGTTCAAGATAAATAGTCAGTTAATGTCGGTGTGTTGTCCACATGTGTTGTTTTCCAGTTTTATTTGCACTAGGATGCTAAATTGAGGAACAGAAGTATAACCAATAAGAGAAAGAATTCCAACTTATGTTACAGTTAGCTCATTAGGTTAATTCGGTCTATTTAGTTATGGGGAGGTTTTCCCGTCTTAGTTATTCCTGAATACATTTGTCAGTACTACCAATACATATGATTCGTTATCGAAAATACATTAAATAAGTGGAAATACTGATAGTAATGTGAATTTCGTACAGATAGCTGACGGAAGTTCGCTCAATGTGTGTGCACTCGGAGAGACTTGCTCTAGACTCAATGTCCTGATTTGTAAAAGATCAACTAGCTATATTCATACTTACTGGTTGATGGTGCATGCAAGTTAGTTGTAAGTATCAAGTTTGGGATGATATAGAAATCGATGTGTATGGACTTGAGTGATTATAAGACGTTAGGATCAACACAGTCAATGTGACACAAATATCTGCGACATGGTGTTGTACGATGCTTTTGGCTAAATAAATCTTTGCGAGGTGATAAACTGTAAGCGCTGCCTATATGGCTATCAAGATAAACACAAGTTTCAACCAAGGGAAGTGCAATTCCCAACTCATGTCTATGATAATAGCATGCACCTCTGTCAGTGGTGGAGTAAATTCGACAATGATGTTTTCAGTTTGCGGAAGATTTTCTCGACTACTTGTACTGATGACTTGCATGCATGATTCTGTCGCTTAACCTCCAATCATACTGACAAGATTCTAAGATGTTTACCAAATGAGAAACTTATAGAGAAGCATACAAAAGTCATCTACAACAGGTAAGGATAATCACTATTTAATGATAATTACCATTCAGTCTATTGACCGAGCTTGCTAATAGTTTCATCAATGATATTGCGTGATTGTCGAGTCATAATAATGATTTATGATGATATCCAGAAACCATTATGAATAACTGGTTATAGTGTTGATTGTAGATTCGCTAGTGGGAAATGGGTATTGTTTTTTAAAGTGATTCTGAAATGTTAGATGCTAGTAGTATCAGCGGACCCGAGCTGCCTGATTATATTACAAATTGCGATTCAAAATTATTTGTTCACTTGATGTTTATTTTTGTAGTAGACTCCAGAGTTTTCGTTTCTAATGCTCGCTTGACTAACAACTGTGTTTAGTTTAGTTTTTATACCAGTGCAGTACGATAATACCTTAATAGGGTGACTTTGTTATCTTAACTATGTCCAACGTCTTTTAGGCAACAAATATATTAACTTAAATTTTTAACGCAAATACGCACTGAAATAACGACTGCGATGGTTTTAGTGGGAAGTGTTAAAGGCAGTTCAAATGATTGTTAAGTTCAAATTTCATATATATGATATAATGCAACGCATTATAAGTACGACGGTTAACCGTCGTGGAGGAACATAAGCAATCAATCAGCATTTTCCGCCCAACTCTGTTCTGGGCAATCTTTTCCAGTTGCTATTCATCCTTTTCAAGTCCGTTTTCAGTTCCTTAGCCTTCCCTTTTCCCGTTTCTCGTGAAGATTCCATGTGTAAAATAGGTTAACATGTATGTTGATGAAGGATACAACAATCAAAAACCTGGTTAAACATCAAAATGTCCGGACGGTACCAGTACCTCCACAGTGTTCCTCTGTGAAAATCATGGTATTAAAACCCAACATCTCAAGCGCACTCTGTTTCCATCGGTACTGGCAGTTTCGATTCAAGACAAAGAAGGGTATGTGAAACCCCTCTTCGCTACAAGTATTGTATGTTGTGCCGTAACAAACGCTTTCGCGAATCCTAGGAAAATTACGTGGGTGGTAAACTTCGGTTTCAAAGAGTCTTACGATATGAGATTTGACGTGTGAAACCTGCCATTCTAAAATCTATGTTGTGGTTCAAGAGGTATTTGTACTTGTCTATATGCCCCCGTTCGATTATTAACCAGTTCTTCACTTACCTTTGGTAGTATCGGGTGTAATGGGACAGTATTGATCAACCTTACCTCCTTTGTTAAAGCTTGAAGATGATGGCTTATTCATATTCCGAGACTCTAGTCAGTGCATGAACAACTCACATATCGGTTTGCTGTTGGATTCTGGAAACTGTTTCGGGAATATATGGTGCGTGGTGTTGCATCCTCGTGACTTCCTTGGGTGTGGGATTTTTAGCTCCTTAACTATTGACCTGGAAGTCCGTTGAATATTTCCTAAGCCATCAGCTGGCACTAGAGACAAGGACTTTCTCAAGCTTGCAGGTTCTTGATGTAAATGACTTGTAAAGTTAGCACTAAATATTTCTGACATTTCTGGGTCGGTGAGATTTTCAACGTTAGGCTCTTCTAGGATATGGACTCATTCTTTTAAAACTTTATGATCTTATGGAGATATTTTGGGTTAGCTTGTATGCGTTTTACTTGCTCATCAAGGTTAATGGACATTGTTATGAAACCTTCAAGTAAAAGCATCCGGTTGAGCTCCATGTATAGTATTTGTGATAACACGACGATTATTTTAAATTTTTGAGCGTTAGTACTTGTGGCACATGATGTTTGTCTGATTATCTGATACGCTACTACAGAAACAAGTTTTTTGGTTTTAGAAGATC